AAAGTTCAGGACAAGTTAAATGTTAATTAATAAAGCGCCATTACGTTTATCACTTAGTGGCTTGTACAAGATACCATATTAGATCTTCTTGGATCTGGTTCTAGACATTGATAAAAGTTGCCTTTTGCAAACCTATTAATAAATGAAAAGTATATTAAATTACAATTGGCTTATTTAGATTAACGTGGAACAAAGCGTAGGCCAGACGGACTGATGACTTGTTCAAATCTGCTGATAGCAACTGAACACTAACGGAGCAAGATCAAGTCAAATGATGTTACTAAGAGAGGTCTATGTCCAGCAGTGAAGAATCAAAGGCTGGCGATGACACAATAGAACGCTAATTGTCGGAGCAAAATCACCTTTAGATTACAACGATCGAGGTGTGATAACTTGCATGGCCAGGGTACTGTTTCCACCTTATCCTCTTTGACCTGCACAAAGAAGCAGCTTTCGCTCCGACCGAACTCTCCTCCGATCGAGACTTGAGTGCTGCCGGGGCCGCGAATTGCGCAACAGCGGGCCGGTTTCGACGTTTAATTAAACGGTAACGTAACGATGGTATGCCAGTGCGCTCTCGAGCGGCGTGTCGACGGTGGCTATGGGGAAAAAAGCGGGTGCATTAATTGGCGCGTCCCATACGACCGGTGGGCCGCGTTCCGAGACGTTTAAGGTTACTTGCCGGACGACATGTAACGAACTTTCTTAAGGGCTTCTGGTTCCCAGCGGTCAAGAACTGGCAATTGAACAAATCCCTCGTTTTCTTTTGCGTGGAAGTTTATTATACACACGTGGATTTATCTTGCGGACAAAGGCCTACCATGTACAGAGTAATACTCGCACACTTAACGTGAATGGACTTTACTTATCCTCGAATAATATTTTTTTATTTCTTATTCAGGCCGGTTTCATTTTCGATGTTTTTGTACCACCGTACACGTCGTATGAAACAGTGTTAGTCCGAAATTATTTATAGCATTCATCAATAATGGTCAATGATGTCATTACGGAAATTGTAATAAAACTAAAATTGAAACATTTTCCCTATGGTATGTTGCTTAATAAGATATCTCACGAGAGAAGGGAGCAAAGAAAATCCGTAGCCTGTTGGAATCTATGTGGAATATCGGAACAGGATAATTTTATTATTATTCACATAAATTATAGACATCAATCCTTGTCCCAAATAAATTATTACGCATTTTTATGATAAACCTCTTTGGGCAATAAAAATTTCATTATCAACTTCATCACTATCAAAATTAAAGCTATATACTTTAAAATTTATATACTACACTGCTCCATAAGAGTTACCATCCACGCGTAAAAGAATAAATCACAGATTGGGAACCATACGCAGAGCAAGTGCATCATTAAACTGGGATTCGAGTTGTATTTAAGGTATTTCAACGCCATCACTTGCACTTCCCATAGATAAAGTAAATGGAATGTTGGGAAAAATGGCTCCAGTCTGTCCCACAGATAAGCCGTGGTAATCCCCAACGTGTAATAAGGGTATTATATTTTAAAGATTTACGGCGTGGGCTCCATGACCTTATTAATTTTATGGGACCACTTGGATTGGTCCGAACTAAAACTAGTTTCTGCTGCTACGCTTAAGTATAACTCTGTAAGCATAGGCACGTATTACGATCGTAGAAATCTATAATTTAATGTTTTAAATGGAAACCCGTACTTTAAATGACCGCATTATAACTACAACTACTTACGCATTTGATTTCAAATTCCTAAAAGACTATTTTTAAACTTATCGTATTATCTCTACAAACCAATACCATCTTATTCAAATACAAAAAAGGTTAACGTAACATCGCTAAACTTTTTTGTATTCTCCTTAATAATCCTTCATCCTTAATATAGAAATGCTGTTTAGAAGGCGGATATTTTAATTATTTTCCTTGATTTATCATACATTTTTATTTAAATATTTTATTTGAATTTAAATAACGGTACATAATATCCATTAAAGTTTTTGTAATACATAAGATAGCAGCAATGTCGATAAAATATCTTAGAGACAACCGCGCCGACACATTTTGAACGAAATTAAATATCCTAATAGTCCCGCGGTGGCTTTATTTATTCTCTATAGGGGTAACTTTGAGGGATAGAGTTCCTTTGTCGGCTTTAAAGCGCAATTGTCGTGAGATCGCCGATAAGAGCGACAATGAACCGCAACGATTTAACGTTACCATTAGACTGGAAACAATTCACAATAGCACGTGAGAGGAATCGCATGGGAGTTTTTCGGAGTCAGAATGGGTCGGGCTTATTGTATTTATTCACGGATACGGATACTACGCATTTAACGCGTTGCGCAACACATAAGTGTTGCCAGATATTTAAAGGTGGTTTGCTTGGCAATACAAGTTTGCCAGATTGCAATATAGAAAGGAACGTCGGTAACACTCTATTCACTCGATTTTTATACTCATTAATTGAACTGCTAATTAGTAAATGCATTTTTAACATTCACTAGTGTACGAGTTTTGAAGGTTTCCGTGCATTTTCCACGAAGCATCTATTGGATACGAATTTACTTCTTCAGAGAATTTAACATAAAATTCCAAAAAAAGATGATTACAAAATTACTCATAGTAGAGTGCACTATCAAAGTTATTTCATGAGCGCCTGACAGTATTTTACGGAAAAAAAATTACTAGGCCTTAATTTAACTGGAGGACTTTCAAATAGACTTGTTAATAAGCGTATATTATCACACAAAGTAACTTAATTAATGTAGTTCATAATCAAAACATTTTATAAAAAACACGCAAAGATATTTTCAAGGTAACCTTTACTTGGTAGTAAAGATTTGGTAATCGAATAGAGAATAAACTGACGTTTTGGCCAACTTAATGTCGACAAATGTAAAGGCTGTTAATTATCGCAGACAGACAGTTAATGAAAGTTTTGCCATGCAACTTGTAACGTATACTACTTGGGTTAGAATTTAAAATGTGATGTCAAAAAGATTTTCATTTCTTAATTTACCGTTACTGTATCTGTACTCTGCTCGTTATTTATTACTTACAAACAGAAACAGCTAAGTAATTCGTCGATAAATTGGCCTTGATAAAAGCATATAACATCTGATAAGGGCCAATGAGCTTGGCCGGCCACGAGCGGCGTGGGCGTCACGTAACGAACCAAGCGCAAATTTGGAGATGATAATATACGAATATATTGAACAATATTTACAATATTAAATACTAAATTAAAAATAAACATACGAAATGTATTTATAGTTCAGTATACGCGATACGTATAAACGGATAACTTAAGATGTGACACCTACTCTAGGATAATCTGTCGGGATTACAAATTGTGTTAATCTCATATACACTGGCTGCGCCCGACGTATTATTTTGGTTTTCTAAAACTCGAAAGTAATGCAAATTCTTCCGTATAGTTCAGAATATTATTACATTTACATTATGTATGCATGACTCCTATTATTCATCGTAAGAACCGATTTTGATGAAAGATATGTCATTATAATCTTTTTTATTGAACGAGTGCTTTAGTTAGTTTATTGATTGGGTAGAATATCAAATTTTTAAAAAAGAAATAAAAATGGACGCCTAAATATAATAAAAAAAAAGTTAGGTAACAGCCTATACGTGTCCCACTGCTGGGCAAAGACCTCCCCTGTACAGAGGGTATTAAGACATAGTCCACACCTACACACACACATATTTTCAAAATATTTTTGTTATTATTTGGAAAACACGTTGTTTTAAGTCAGCACTTGAAATTAACAATTTCACTGGTGCCAGTACCCGAAATCCAACCTGTGTATATTGAAATATAGGCGAGCGCCAAGACGGTGAGCTATCACACCAAAACAGATTTTGAAAAAAATTCGTTTAGTACCACAATCGCGTTTTTTCGAATTCTTCTGATAAATATTATATCTAAACGCTGGGAAAGATAAAGAGAATCGACTAAATAACGGGAAGTGTGCACTAAAGGTTTCATTCAAGGGTGCCAAGAACCCAACAGCTTTATCAGAGCTCTAGTTAAGGTATTATTAAAGGCACTTAGGCATAAAGCCTCCGCTCGAGTCTCGCTTACCTAAGTAACGGTCGCGGTGGAAATGGGCATGTGACATGTGGAACCCGACGCCGGCTCTTTAGAAAGCTAAGCCGTAAACATAAAAAGCGGGTACGGCGGAAAGCGAAGCCTAATAGCCCGTTAATTACCGGTTATGAGTAGACATTGCCCTACTTAAGTGCCCCGACAAGAAACAATACCTTGTGCGTATTTGCCTGGACTTTTTTTTTTACACCACTCATCTTCTACTATTCAAATGCTCGCTTTTAAGTACTCTTTTTTATAATCCACTAAGTCGAAAACAAATAGTTTGTAAAAAAAATTGTATTCTAGAGTACCTAGTATTATATGAAAAACATTTATGTTAGAAAAAATATTGGCCTCGATCATACCTTACACCATAAAGTAAAAGTAAATGATGGGAGAAATACGTTTTTATAATTGTATGTTACATGGTAACTTTGGTATCGAAGAAAAATTTTGCTATTTCATTAATAGTAGCGATGTTAATTCGAAAATGCGACTAAAGGTCGTGAATAAGCCTTAGCTAAAATTACTGCCTCGCTAATACCGCACTCGACCCCACTGTACATTCGCTGACTTACGAAAAAAATTTTGTTACTATTTCGTAAATATGCAACTTTCTTCACGATATTTTCTTTTACCACTAAGCGCGTGATAAGTTAGCGCTTAAAATTAACAATTTTATTGGTGCTCGCACCGGGATGTAAAGACTGGTTGCTCGAGTATATTTGAAGCCGCAAAGACAATGATCTATAAGTTTTCAAATCACACACAACAGTCACTTTAACTGAATCCCGTGTATCTCACACCAATCTATTCGGCATTCTAATAACGAGAAAACACATCGAGAAGAGCCTATCGTCGGTACGATCTCGAACCGAAACTAGTTTAATGTATCAGGCCGGCCAGCGGCCGCGGCTCCCTAGCAGACGCCGCGCCACGAACACTTGCCGATTCACGAAACTGGTTACGCACGGCGGTCCCATCCACTTGATCTTGGACGAGTGTTGGCCAACTTTCTCGAGATTCCACGCGGGGCCGGTCGCGTCAGCATCTGACATTGCGAGAGGCGCGATCTTTTCGCCCCGAGTCGCGAACCTAATCTCTTTCTGCGCATAACATTATCGAATTGTGTTTCCACTCTCTTTGTAACTCCACTGTATATCCGTAAAAGGGGGAATCAATTGAGATTAGCCCAATTTTCAAAGGGTTGTCAACGCATCTGCAACCATCAGGTGAACCGTCTGCTCGTATGGCAACTTTTCACATTAAAAAAAAGAAATGATGTGGTATACGATCGAACTGACGGAACAATTAGAATCGAATAGAACATTCTTTTATGTGAAAATTGGGCAATCGAGCAGGCGGTTCATCCGATATAAAGTGATTACCGCCGCCCAGGACATCTACAACTCTCGAGGGATAGCAGATGCGTTGCTTTTGCCGCCTTTTAAAAAGCGGGCAATGGCTACCTCACTCACCAGACAAAACGCAAAATTATAGTTCTTCCACTTCACACCGATCTTCTGCGAAGCCGTGGTAATTCCCCTGGCAATGTATTAATATATATGTATAATATTATACATATATAAACACCCAGGTACTAGAAAAACACTATATTCATCACACAATATGTTTCCAGTATTGGGGATCGAACCCACACCCTCTGGCGCAAGAGGCAGGTGTGCTACTCACTACGCCAAACAGGTTGTCAAGATTAGATTTGATTTTAAAATATTTATAACGTACAACTGTACACTTAAACAACACTGCCCTTTTACGAATTATAATGTGTAATTCAGAATTTGGCCACATAATCCGAATCATGAATCCTTGGCTGGCCTTTTTTCGCTAAATAATAATTTTGTTTTTCTGTTAACAAATTCGTATTAAGTTAGCCACTGATGTGACACCTAAGCGTAGTTTTCGAACCGGTTACAATTTCATTCTTGGAATATTATTACTTTATTTCTATTAGATTTATTAACTCTATAGAGACACATAAATACAATACAGCTACGAGAAAACTAACGAACCCGATTGGCGTATGGGGTAGTGAACCTGCCTCATGCGCCAGAGGGTGTGGGTTCGATCCCCACTACTGGAAAAAGTATTGTATGATGAACATAGTGTTTTTCCAGTGTATAGGTATTTATATATGTATTTATTTACAAAAAAAAATATGTGTGAGTATGTTTATCAGTTAGAAAAAAAATCTTATATAGCTCATGTTATTATACGATTTAACGCCAATTCGAGAAATAAAGAATTTGCGTGGGTAGGCGGACTTCTTTTAAGGCGAGGTTTAAAGACATAATTCACTTATAACCGACATTTGTTTAAACACTTATAATAGACATTTGTTTAACCTTTCCAGACAATATATCAACGAATCATTACATAAATAAAAGTTTTCCGATTGAATTTTAATCTCAGTGGGCCGATTTGCAACGCGACTGACAAATTTAGTGTTTTAGGAAAGGGTTTTGTTTCGAATTTCAATCAAATCATATCATTATTAACAATAAAAAACTCAAAAATGTACAAGTCTTTATCATAACAGACAAATTCCTCGTTTAATTAAAATGTGTAAGACAAGATCTGCCCGTGTGGCCATTAAAACTAATTTGAAACAACTATCAAAACTGGTTTTATTTGAAGCGATCAACGATTCACAGAACGTGGAAGGTGAAATAGAAATAAAAAAGTATCTTAATAACTATCTTGACTCTTGACACTGAACAAATTTTTCAAAGACCGCGCCAATTGATAGTAAAAAAGATTCTTATGTATCAAGAACTTTGCCTCTTACTCAACCATCCCGAACAGCAAAACATTTTTTTTTCTTTCTAAATTTGCAATCGGTCGTTAGATCATAGGCGAATTTGTTGCGTGATGGTTTATGGGTTTTCTGGCGGGGCAGCCAATGCCGCCCCTACCAATTAAATGATGTGATCACGTTTAAGTCTCTTGACCACCACAATCGGGTCCAGCAAATCAATTACGAGTGGAAACAGCAAAACATTGGAACAATTATGTATCTTCAAGACAGTCAATAGGCTTACAGTATTACTACCCTTTCCACCAACGACTGCATCTTGGCCGTTTTTTAGTTAACCATTTTAATAGGTTCTATTGCAGCAGCTGTCGTTAGTTGTTAGTTATTCTTAGAATAATTAGATCGAATAAAAACGCTTGTAAAGAAGAACGTTAATTATTTACCCTCGCTTCGCTCAGCGAATAAAAGTTTTTAATAGCCTCGCCCGTTTTTCAAGTATTCGGACGAACGAGTTCCATGCTTTGGCACTGGCTGCTATTTAAAATCAATCGATGCGACTTGACTGACGAGATATTAGGCTCTTGTTGTAAAATATTATCATATTTTGCTTCAAACGAATACTCTTATTCCGATGGGCTTATTCTGAATCGGTAGACTGGCCCGAACACCGACCGGACCTGACGGTTTTCGATTTTCGTATAGAGCTTGTATAACTAAAACACGCCATATGGGAAAACAACGTATTTTAAAAGTACTTGAATGCCTGCAATTTTGGTAAAATGTTTTAGGGCGCAGAATAGGGTTCTGGAATTTCAACTTAGCACCTTGGTTTAAGTGTGGAGTTTAAATGTAAACATTTTTGAAATTAATCAAATTTAAATATTTCTTATTTTTACGCCAATGTTACATTTAATTACAAAATAAACCGAAAAAATCTGTAAAGTAGTTTTAACATAAAACTTATTCAAATAAGAATCGCAACAATTTCTTAATTTAATAAGGGCACTTATAAAAGAAACAAAAGAGTATGTGTTTGTGTATGTGTTTTTTTTTAATATTACCATTTAAATATAAGTTTATATAGGCAGTACAAGTTTTTGTTTTATTTAGTTACTTGTTTTTTTTTAAGTATTTCGTTTTCAATTTAATCTCTGTTTATATTAGTTATTAAAGTTAAAGTTAAGTTGTATTATTGTCCTTTTTTATTTCTAATGCCTGTTGTGTCTACATCATGAAGAATGCACTTTTGTGTTTGGAACAATTGGAAGTTTATATGATGAACTTGTGTGAAGGTTGTATTCAGTTTTGTAAACCCAATAAAAAATATGCTTAACACGCAGTGACGACGATCATGCATGCGCCTTCAATGGTTCTTAAATTTAGCTATTAATCAGTTTAAGCATATGTTTCATTTCATTTTCATCATTTAACTGTGGTAGAACAACGCAATGATGTTCACTGTTGCACGAATGGTTAGGTCCGTCCGGGTAAGTACCAAGACTTCACAGAAGACCGGCGTAAAGTAGAAATGTTACATTTCTGCGTTTCGTCCGGTGAGTGAGGTAGCCGGAGCCCACTTTATTTAAAGCTGGCAACGGTTCTACAACCCTACGGGTGTTGCAAATGTCCATGGGCGGCGATTATCATTTAACATGAGGTTAACAACCGCCAGCGCGTTTGCCGCTTTGTCACATAAAAATGAAAATAAAATATGATTTTTTTCCAACATTCTTGATAAGATGACGAAATGTTTGCCTTGGGACTTTATTGTATTGTTAAGACTCATCTTTCAAGTACATAGTACATGTTTCGGCAGTGAAAGATCTCACAGCACAGATCATGTTGAACATAATAACCAAAGTTAACGGTAACTTTTAATACGGAAGCTGAAATCAGAGAGAGTGCCAATGTCTGCGCTACAATCACGACCCGTGTGAAAACAAGGCCAAAAATTCCCATAAAATGTCATCATTTCATTGAAGACGTAGAATGGGGTGTAGAGTACATGATATTGATAATTTTAGATGTAACATAAAGAAAACAAACAATTTAAGATTTTACACTAGACAAAGATATTATTGAGAATAAAACTAAACCGACTACAAATATCTCACATGGGGGCTAAACCGGATCGAATTCAAAAGAATTTTTAAAATTGGTAATAAACATATGAAGATAGTTCAGTGTCCAGGCGCTTGCCTTTAATTCAATTTCCTCGAGCAACCTGAGTTCGATCCCGGGTGCCGGCACCAACGAAATTGTTAATTTTAAGTGTTGACTTATCACGTGCTCAGCGGTGAAGGAAAACATCGTGAAAAAACTTGCATATTTTCGAAACAGTAACAAAAAAAAATATTTCAAAAATATGTGAAGTTCGCCAATCCGCAGTGGACTTAGCGTCAATAAGCCTTGATACCGGCTTTACATAGGAGGGCTTTGCTCAGCAGTGGGATATTTATAGGCTGTTACTTTAGTTTGTTTTTATATAACGAGAAATTATTATAAAGAAATAAGATAAACAAAAAATAATAAGTTTACTAAGTTATATAAGCGATATAATATTCATATCAATTTAATATGATATGAACTTAAATACCATAAACACGATTATAGTTGTAAACGTTGAGGTTATTATTGGGAATGGTCACAAAATTAGATCCTTCCGTTCGATCGGACAGTGAAATGTTATTAGACGAGTACACATTTACCCGTAGACCCAACTTGAAGACAAAGCTGCTTTATAATAGATTCAGTGTTATCTTTTATGACAGTCGCACAGACGGGTTAAACTAAATACGATAAGGTCCTGTTTAATATTCTATTACTTATTTCTAAATCTACATAAGTCTACGTACAAATTTAAATATATTTCGTGCTCAGTTCTTTAAACAATGATAACAAAACGAGGCTAGTGTAAGCGTGTTATGTAAATAGGCACTTTTGAATGTAAATTCCGAATCTATTAAATGAGTATTCCATTGATTTGAGACTTCGCAATGGAGACGCAGAGGCATTTAGTTTAATGAAAGATAAAGCTGTACACAGACGGGATAAGCGGCCCGACAGCTCGCCACTTTACAGTAGGACTTAATTACGATGATACGCTGACCGGCGACATTTCTCGAATGTTTACTTTCATACTTTAAGTCGACGTCTATTTGCACGCTTACCGGATGAAGATATAAATCGAGATTTAGAGGTTTTTATGGAATATTTCGCAACAATAACAGAACAACTTGATAGACTACCTTGTAATCTGCGCCTGACAAGATCTTTGCCCAAAAGTGGGTCTGCTATTTTACTTTGCCAATGTAAGTGTGGATGAATGTACATATAGTACATTCATCTACACTCGACTACGCTTAACCAGTTACATATGGTATATACAGTCAATTACATATTCATATATGTATATGTAATTGACTGTAATTGACTGTACTGTTATAACATTACTTTCAAATTTAAAGTCAAATTCATATCTGACTTTAAATTTGAAAGTAATGTTATAACTATGATCATTTAAGAAATGAACGCTTCTCGATTTCATATAAAAATGAATGACATGAAAGCCTCGACTTTTTCCACCTCTCAAGAACATTTACGAGTTCAAAGCCAATAGAAATCTTTCAATGGCACAAACACTCCGAGCGCCGAATACTATACATTCCGGGCCCCGCGTTCTTACTTCGCTTTTGTTTGGTTTCAACTTAAATGTCAAACTTACACGGCTATTAAACGCGCAATTACGACAACACCTTAAGAAAATGCAAAGTTTATTTTGATACTATTTAGCTTCGTTAAATAATACCATATTTTATTATCAATCAATAGTACGATACGCATGTTCTACTATTACACGAATTTTATATCGATGTACTTATAAGTTTCGTGAATTTTTGCGAACTGCACGGAATATAAATGTTAAATACTTAATCAAAACACACATTTAGCAATTGCAATATAATGTCATGTACAGACAGTCAACATTCTAACAAACTCATCAGATTGATCCGACCATCTATTTTCCATCTAGCTATTTTTCCAGACTTAATTAGAATGCATAATTATTTCTTTCTCTAATAAACTTTTATTTCAAAAAAGCGTAACCCTTCATTGTCAGGATAAAGAAACTGTTGATCAATGACAAAATTTTTAACATTTATCCAGCATCACATAAAAAAAATTACCCCTTCTAAATATAACAGAGACATGCGACTGTATTCTCTCTAACTTATATAGCTTCTATGTAGACATGTTCATAAAATAAAAACATTTCTTGTATAATCTATTTATTATATTATAGACAGTTATTCGATTATTTATTGAGCGCGTTGATGTCCTTTTTAAGAAAGATGCTCTCACTTATCTCATAATGATAAATTTACTTAAACACACTACATGCTACGATGTTTCATCGTTTAAGTTAACTATAAAAATGGTTTCAATTATAATATAGATAGACCATAATCAAAACGATCTAACGGGACCTTTTACGGATTTCCTATGATTTTTATATAAGTTTAGCATTTGAAACAGACACTTCAATATCTATCATGAAGTTAATCAATTATATTTTAGGTCACACGTATTAATATTTATGAGTCTATTACATCTCAAGTTTGTACGTGATTATATTTGAATGTAGTATCGGCAGAATTTTATAGTTTACGTTAATCTTCGAATAAACGAAATGTGTACGCAGTAACAGCAACCGATAATAGCTAACTCGTGGCGAAGAACGGCATTTTTACGAACACGTTCGTGGGAGCTGTCGTACCTTTTGACGCCCCGTGCCATATTCTCTAGGCGCCCCTAAAGGCCTCCGCTCTTGAGAGGGCCTACGTTATGACTAGGAACTAGAAAGTAAAGACGTTCCAAAGACAACTTACCCTGTTTCACGTTGATTCGAATCTCAAAATCCTTTACGGGTCACTTATATTCACAAAACACACGCGTGAAACTTATGAAACCTTACATATACTTCACCACAAATTCGAACACAGGCACTTTTAACGAACTTACGGTGCACAGAGGTACATGGCGTGATTTGAGCCAACATTCACTCGAACTAAAGCCTCTTTAGGCACATGCGTTGAGAGGGATCGGAACAACCACTCGAAACTGACACAAGGTACTCCTGAAACGATCCTCGCGTTACCGAAAACGAATTGTGACGTGTTTAACACAACATTGGTGAAAATTGGACCGTTAAGTCCGAATAAAACAAACGGCGTGCTACGTTGTTAAGTTAAAACTAAGTCCGCACCGCTAAGACAGAGTAAAGACCGTTGATCCAGTTGTGCGGTCGATACAGCAGTACGCTGCTTTACCGACACGGCCCTCACACATTTACAATGACAGCCGTCTCATTCGAATACGATTCGAAGAAAGGGACAGCGCTATTACGGTCGCCAGTAGTGGGAGAAGATACCTGTAAACAGCAAAGGCTCTCTCAATACACATAGCGACAGGTGAATAAAAGTAGTGTGTGCGTTTGTTGTTACGAGTTTTGGTCTTAGTGTGAATGTTTTCTCGGATGTTGTAGAATGATAAAATGCTATTTTGTTCGATGCCATTTTATCGTACCTCCGCCGCAGTAACGTTCCTGCCAATATACAATTAGGTCTACCATCGCATCGAGGTTAAACGTTATTTTAAATGCATTAAGGCCGGTCAAATTAAAATAGTTTCGTCATTTAATGTACTGCCTTCGAAACATCGAATGTGTTCGATATTAATCAAAAGCGAGTTTAGTGAAATACAAAAATGAATTGTATTGTATCTATAAATTCAACGCCATGATATAAGTTTGAAGCCCTTTTGTATTGATGTTTAAAATCTGTTTTATTATAAGTTTTCCATTGTTTTACGTAGATTGAAAATTAGTAAGGGATCCCTTATGATTACAAAGAATACGTTGTAATCATAAGGGATCAGGTAATCAGGTACATCGGTGATTGTACAATCATGGAACATTCTGGTGTAAATGGCTGATTGTTTTACATCAATCAGCCATTCGCGAAGTTAGTAAGAGAATTATAGTTCATCTAATATTAAAGGATTTCTTTACTCTTAGATAGATGGAATTTGTCTAAGTTTGTTATCCAGTCCATCTGTTCCCGTTGTGTGATTAAACTACTAGAGCATTAGGGCAGTACTGTTTATATAAATATGGATTAATGGTATTCTGACCTATAAAGTAAAAGTATCAGCCTATACATGTCCCACTGCTGGGCAAAGGCCTCCTCTGTACAGAGGGTATCAGAGCATAGTCCACCACGGGGCCCCACTGCGGATTGACGGACTTCACATATCTTCGAAATATTTTTTTTGTTATTATTTCGAAAATATGCAGGTTTATTCACGATGTTTTCCTTCACCGCAGAGCACGTGATAATTCGGCACTAAAATTAACAATTTCATTGGTGCCGGCATCAGGGATCGAACTCAGGTTGCTCGAGTATATTGAATTAAAGGCGAGCGCCCGGACACTGAGCTATCACGGCTCTTCTATTCTCACCTATGTCATTTTTTTATGTGAAAAGTTTCCAAGCGAGCAGGTGGTTCACCTGTTAAGTGAATACCACCGCCCATGGACATTTGCTACACCCGAGGGCTACAGATGCGTTGACAAACTTTTGAATATTTGGCTCCGTCTACCTCACTCACCAGACGAGACGCGAAAGTATTTGTTATACTTCCACTTTACCCCTGCCCATTCGTGCAACTGCAGCTGTTACGTGGCCCTACCACAGTACCATTATGTAACTAGAATCACTTTTACTGTCGATGTTGGGCCATGAAGAAAAACTACTGCATTGATTTCAATTAATTCTTCTAAGCATTATTTCTTCGACGCTAGGCCTTTATGTAAAAAATTTATGTCATCTTCATATAATTTATAGTTATTGAAATTTTAAGAAAAACGATTTTTATAAGCACTACGTGTCCGTTCGTTAAAATTTGTTGTTAATATAACAAGCAACGCAAACGAGGTCGCGGGTACCAACCAGCTAGTTCGCAAAAGGAAAAATATGTCTGAATTAAAAACAACTTGAAAAATACTTTTTTTTTGTTTATGTGAAACGTTTCCAAACGAGCATAAACTTCATCTGATATAAAGCGATTACCATCGCGTAAGGATTTACAGCACCTTAGGGCTTGCAGATACAATGACAACCTTTGTCAAAAAAATTATTCCCGGTTATCTTACGTAACAGTCGAAAGTATTATATTTCCACTTCACGCCGGTCTTCTGTGAGGCCATCATACTTCTCGAACGAGCATGGCCACAACAGCAGAAGCAGATGCGTGACGATACCTACATAGTGTCTTCTTTATTTACGCCAATACCACACGGTGGACATAAAACTACCTTGCGTAATTTATCGCGTTCAAATTTCGTATCAATTTCTGCACATAGCTTCGCACTTCAGAGAATACTCGTACACCTACAATCGGATTACAGAACACATTACCAAAAACTGCTAAATATAAATTAGGCATGTAAAGTCCAAAGCGAAATGCAATAATTGCAAAATGAAAATTGTACGTACATCGCATTTTTATCGTTCGAAATGTTTTATTTATAAAGATAAATTATACCCTCGTTAATTAATTAACAGTTTTTCATTAATACTGATTCGCCGTTCGCTAGTCGGTCTCGCGTTGAAAAACTTCGATAAAACCTTGTCGTGGCAACCCACCGTGCGTGGAACCTGCGCAACGAGATGGACATGTCCGACAATGCAACTTTTTCATTTCATAAACATAAATTTAAGTTTCCTGTTCGTTCGGTATCATTATAAGAGTGGAACACCGCGGCATCCCTCCCTCTCGCACAATAATTCAGTTTAACAGCCTTTCAATATGGATAAGATTTGAAGCAACGCTCATCTCTCTGTTGTCTTACCTCAAATTGCTTATTTTCCATTACCGTACTTACTCTTCGTAATAAAGCCGTGACCTAATATTTAATACAAACACATTGATGCATTTCTTATAAAAAACTCTTTTGAATTTTTTTCGAAATATTTAATGAGTGTTTTGAGAACCCTTTGGACTTTAAGGCATCCATAATCCTGGTTTGGCAGTATTTTAATTTGAGGCTTCCGTTACCAAGCTTCCTGCCTATTTAAACCGTAAACCTTTTTCGAATTCATTGTTTTTTAATAAGACTTCGCCAACGAAGGCTCATGAATAAATATTGTAATTAGATTCCCGTCGCCCGACGTAACGCTTTCAGAGAACGGACGAGAGGGCTAAAGGAAAAACTAATAATCTGTTAGGAAATCAGAGCGGACCAATTTGGAAAGAGTGCTCCTATCCATTAATCTCTATCCATCTATCGGCTAGAGCAATTTAGGGAAAAAATAAAGAGCAATTCTTTTGAGGGACCGATGAGTTCAATAATTCTTTCAATTTCATTAAAACTCACTGTCGTTTTTCATTGGATTTGTGTTGCCAAAAACTGGCCAAGCGCAAGTCGGACACGTGCACGAAGCCTTCTCGACATCATCTATGAAAACAGAAAAAAATAATGTCCGTTGTATGGGAGCCCCTCTTAAATATTTTTTATTGTTTTTTACTATTTGTTGTTATAGCGACAACAGAAATACATCATCTGTGAAAATTTACACTGTCTAAATATTACGGTTCATGAGATACAGCCTGCTGACAGACGGACAGACAGACAGACAGCGGTCACAGACAGGGTCCCGTTTTACCCTTTGGATATGGAACCCTAAAAATGAAGATATTTACAATGAATGTTATTAATTATTTATCTAATAATGCTTTTAATACGAATAGTTCAATAACCATGTTAGGTATTTGACCATACTGAAAATCTCATCATTTCAGTAGTTTTACAAATTGAATGATTGTTCTTCTGAATTTCTGGCGACTTAAGAATATTTAAATTTAGACTCCATGATTAGGTTCAATCTTATTTTTATTAAAACATTTTCATTTATTTTATATGAATTCCTGTGGAGCGCGGATTTTCACAAATATGAACTCAGCGACGCAAGGTACACGCAATCTCAGAGAAACTGTTTGGGGAGCACACAACTATTTCCCGTGGGCATCGCTTTTCACCATGAGAATCATATTACTATGATAATTTTATTTTATTTTATTTTATTTTATTGGACATAACAAACAGCTACAATATGTGATATAAACAGATGTAGTAATAATATTGCAGTCCACTACATTATCCACATATTAAGGTATGCATCCCCCATAAAATACTCTGGAACCTCGTTCTTTATCCACAAATCTTAACTTCTTTAAATTCTACATCTCTATACTACATTTAATCATCATCAAATTGTACAGAATCGTAACATCGACGGGACAAATATTATTAGGTAACGGGCCCTTATAACGCAAATGAAACGCGTATTGCTACTTTCCACAGCTGTGTGTATCGTTCCAAACAAATAAACGAGGCAATTACGCCTAAGTCAAGCAAGTAAATAAATACTGCCGACATTTCAGTGTGGCATCACGAAACTTCGTGATAAGTTCCTCAACGCGTGATTGTGAGAACAACGGGGTATTAAACCACTACAGCATTGGAATAACTATTTATTTAACGCATGATAGAGTACATACAGAATATAGACAATAAAGTTGTAAGCTCTATTCAAACTGTGATTCTTAAAATTGTGGATCTTAACATTATGTAAACTTAAGTAAAATATATATCTATGTGGCTTATGTACTAAAACAGCTATTGGCTTATTATGACATCTTGTCAATATAAGAGAGTAACTTCCATTTTGTGAAACACTGATCATCGTAGAAATTAAGTAATCAGCTGTCAAATGGCTTTTCATGTCATATGAGTTGCCAAAAGGATAGTTAAACTCTTTGAATTGATCATTTCGATCATTAAGAAGGTCATTCTGATCAATTCAAAGAGTTTAACCATCCTTTTTGCAACTCAAATGACATGAAAACAGTCAAAACTGAATTCCGTTTGAAAGCATGTTTGCAAAGCAAGCATGAATTATATCACGATCAGGATAGTTTGAAACTTACCGATATCGACATACTTGAGTACAAACTGCACTTCAGGGCCCAATGCTGCCGCGATCTCTAACGGCAACTCCGTATCACGCAACACGTGCACTGCGAACAATATAAAACGAATAGTGACATCTAATAGAGTAACTGATCTTCTAAATATATTCAATAAAGTACAGCCACGCAGCTGATTCTAAAGTTGTCGTAATGGGACAACTTCTCTGGGTAAATACTGCGGCCTTATATGTATAATACCGACGCAAAGCATAAGTATTGAACGTTTTGCATGTCGTCTAGTCGGTGAGTAACTGGAGTCCTATCTTTTGTATGATAGCGAGGCAATTGTCACATCAAGGCTGTGGCATATGTCTACGGGCAACGATGATCATTTACCATCAGATCCGACATCACAAAATACATACACATATGAAAATAACACTTATTATTTATTCCCGAAGGAGTCTGTTCTATCTTAGATTCGTATTGAGAACAAAACAGCCACGTGGATAAAGTCCCCTTTCACACCTTTTCTCATGAATAATGACTCTTAAAATGAATAAAGACCTTATAATTACACCAAGCGTACTGGTTTAAATCTTTTAATACGGCAAAGCGGAAAGCCCTTTGTTTTATTGTTTGGCACTAACCCTGCTGGCATAGCACTTAACCTATTATTTTAAATATTACGACGCAATTCTGTTAGCAAAAGTAAATTCTGGTTAGTAGGTACTTCACAAGTTATAATATACATACGTAATAACATGCAAGAAATGTGTTATCTGATATAAAATCAGCATCACTACTTCTGAACTTAAAACTTAACATAAAACATGTATTCGACTTGCAATATGAAGGGTAAAAATCCCTACTCACGGTGACCATCTGAAGATAATTTACAAAAATATTCTTTCTGTAGAAAAAGACGTTAAGATTTTTGTCGGTGTGGCAATCAGCCGTTTGGCTCAGTGGCTAGAGCGTCGAATGCCGAAGACGTGGGTTCGATTCCCACAGCGGGGACAATCTTTTCGTACTTTTTCTACATATTTTAATATTCTATATAAGCCTGCTTAAAAATTATTACACAAAGAAATGTCAAATGTCTAACTCTGAACAATGACATTTTGGTCACAACAAACATCCTACATTCATTACCGTTGAAGGAAATTATCTGGTTTTTTAAATTGCGAAAGGAAAATAACTCCGCTTCCCGCGATCTCTCGGAGCTCATTATGTAACGAAGGGGACCGAGCTTATTCAAACCAGATCTCCCTCATTGTTCGATTAAAAAATACGGTCCACATCGAAAAAAAATGTCGTTTAAGAAATATTTTCGTGTGTTATAATATTATGATCGAACCTTTAAATTACATTTAAGGTTATTAAGTAGGGTATTAACAGAACGTGCTACGTCGTAAATATATATCATAAAACAAAAACAGGAAAATAACAAAGATGTGTATATTAAAGCGGATACAAGTAATAGTTTTAACCTCTTTGTGCAACACATTTTCACATTTAATTATAAGTACTTAACTTTACAAAAGATAACCGTACAAATTCCCATGTCAATACGATAATGAAGCAATTAATTAAAAAAATTTCACAGAGCGCCTGTGCGAAACGTAAATGCAATAATTACCATACCTTACAACGTAATTGGCGAACTATTTCAAAGTTAACGGCGCTATAAAACAATTTTCTCAAATAACGTAACGAGCTATCCGGCGACCTTACGTGCATAATTATAGCCCTGGATGCGTAATAAAAATAAAATCGAGCCGAATGTGAAAGTGAACGTGACTTAACGTGCACCTATAGAATGTTTCCCAGACGAAACCAGTTGCCATTGCCCCTTTCTTCGTCGCGTGCTTATCTTTATATTTAATCGTATGTGAGTTCATTACGCCAAATTATGGTTGTTGCGTTGCAATTTTCAATCGCATGCTTCCCTGACGAGCGACTTCATTAACTTTTATTCTTATGAGTACTCCCTACAAAATAATTATGTGAACAGAAACCCACAGAACAGTTACGTACAGTAATGTTCGATTCGATTACTTTTCAAATTGATACTTAACTGCTGCATGTAATGTGAATTACCTTATTTTTGGTATTAACGTTTCACATAGTTTCACCATTTCTAATATTGATATCTAGCATGGGTCAACAAATGTTAAAACCTGTTAAATCTGATAACTCACAATATTAAAGAAAACATATTTAATGTTGGTTATTTTTTTTACATATAAAATAAAATTTCAACAAGCTTCTACAATTTAATTATAATTTTAAAAATGAATTAATTGAAAGCGATAAAATCTAACACAATAGTGTCACTGAATAATATGTATTGTCGCTTAAATACAAGAAATAATCGTATAAAGTGCCGTGAAAAATTTTATGGATACGAAAAAATGAACCTACCTCTTTAACATCTTATAATATTTGGTATCTTTTTATTTCCTCAAAGATGGTAGGTAAACGTTACCTCAGGTATTATCGTTCTCAATTCGACTGTATTTTGTTTTTTTTTTTTTATGTTTGTTACCTCAGAACTATATCATGCGGTGGTAGGGCCACGCAGCAGCCTCGGTTGTTGCACGAATGGGCAAGCCCGTCCGGGTAAGTAACACGACCTCACAGAAATGACAAATACTTTCGCGTTTCGTCTGGTGAGTGAGGTAGCCGGAGCCCAATTTGCAAAATGTTGTCAACGCATCTGTAAGCCTCGGGTGTGGCAGATGTCCATGGGCGGCGGTATTTACTTAACATCAGGTGAACCGTCTGCTCGTTTGACAACTTTTCGCATAAAAAAAGGACTTTTGACTGAGTTAACCGATTTTGATGATTCTTTTTTTATTTGAAAGCTGGTGCTTCCCAAGTAATCTCATATTAATTTCAGGCTTCGGAGATACTTAAGGAACTCTTGAAAATCAATTATGAAATGAATACAGAGCGAGATATTTTAAGACGGTTTTGTTTTTCGTTATTAAAAAGTGGTTATATTTTATCTAGTTGTCTCAAAAATTATTATTAATGCCTCGGCCGACGGCACGGCGGTCAGGGCCCAAAGGGCCCCAGGGCTCAAAAGAGGCGGTGAAGGTTTGACATCCTTAAAGAGTATTGCATAATTACGGGATCCACTGTACAGTGCTGCGTACTCGGAAACAGCGTGTAAATATGTATGAAATTTGTAATAAACGAGGGTAGGCATCGACAAGAAATTGGCTCGGCGTAATACTGTGAAATTGACGGTGTTTCCCCCACCTAAATTCATTGAATTATTTATAAAGACCATTTTATATAAGTATATATATACAAGGTTTAGTCCTGTTTATAATTCGTTTTAAATTAACAATGGTTACAAAAGTGAGAGATTATTTTGCTGTATAAATTTAAGGACGGTTGTGCCTGAATGAAAATCTCATTAAAAATTGTTTTTAAATACGTTAAAATTAAGGTCAATTCCTTTAACATGACCAATAAAGTAGATGTCCGCTATTTTTTTTTTTTACCTTCTGCCAGTTAAAAGTTGATATCTTGGCAAATTGATCCTTTTACAACCTACGAAAGCCGACTGCGATTACGTTTTTAAAAGGACATAGGAAGAAAAAACCGAATTGTTAAGGTAACTACTAACTACAAGGTTAGCGAAAATATCAAACATAAATACGGCGATCACAGCGTATTTTGCATATGTAGAATCTATTATCAGATACGGACTTATAATTTGGGGTAATGGCACAGAATGTCAAAAAGTATTTTTAGCTCAAAAGCGCTGTATTAGAGCTTTCAGTAACATTTCATCATATACATCATGGAAGACTTATTTTAAGACTTTAAATATACTTCCTTTTCCTTGTCTCTATATATTTGCGGTTTGCAAATTTGTAAAACAAAATAAGAATATGTTTTTACAAGCTAAAGATGTGACAAAAATAAACTTACGGAACCAAGATAAATTAATACTAGACACAATTCCTAAAAGTAAGCGCTTTCAAAAAAATAGCTATGCAATGTGCAGTACTATTTATAACAAGATACCCTCACATATAAAACAATTACCATATAATATGTTTAAAATTTCGTTACGACGATGGCTGTTAGAGAAACTATTTTACACAATAAATGAGTTTTTAAATTGTAATGCCTAAATGTTGTTCCTATTATTTTATTTTTTTTTTTTTAAATCGATGCATTAATTAATTAATATATCTATTAAAATTGTAGGACTATTTTAGTTATATGTAAAAAAAATTAGACTTAACTGTATTATAAAAATATATCTTCTGGACATTTGCATGCTGTTCAAAACAGCTAAATAGGTGAGCTTGACATTTGTGACAACAACAAGATAACAAGACCAAAATATTTTCTGTACCTATTTATCAGCAAATAAAGAAACTTAAAACTTTGACCAAATCTTTAAAGTAATTGATATTATACATTATAAGTATAACATTACATTGTTAAAGCTTTTTAAGTTATACATTTTTTGAGGTAAGCTCGACGTATAAAATGTTAGTTTCTATTTTTATTGAAATAAATGAAATCTGGTAAATGTAAAGTTTAAAAAAAACCGTGTATAAAAGTATAACCTGCAACACCATAATTTCTCACACATTTTTAACATAAGCTTTGTCCTAATTAGGTTCGAAAACAAAGGTTACAAATAAACTTACAAGACCGTTGTTCGACGTGGTGAGTATGTACATGATAGTCTCTCGTTCACCTCACAGTGGGTGATACGTCGAAACAATTTGAACTCCGGTGCGTGGAAGAGTGAAAATGACATTTCGGACATATCTTTCCCACGGACGAGCTTGGGAACTAGAGTCTCCATTCGTTCTACTTCTGCAGGACAGGAGTCCTTAACAATCCAATATAATTTGACATTACTTCAACACATTACTAATAAGCAATGTTCTAAATGTTGATATGTGGTACGCATCACCACTAGTAATTTTGACCATTGACATAATTTTTTGTAAAATACAAATGTAAATTAAAATTGTTTAAATACAGAGAGTCTGTTTTTACATAAGCTTATTAAAATATACAAGTTTATTGAAGTTATTTCGTAATTTAAATAACCCCTATAAAACATTTTAACGTTTTCGAACGTATAGTATTATTATAAAACATTAAAATTTATCTTTTATTAATAAATAATTAAAGCACTTTATAAAATTAGTTCTTTCCGATAAAACAATCCAGGTGCATTTCATCAAAAAGATGTATTAATATCTTATAAATATTTATAATAAACGTTGTCCCCTTAAAAGTCACAAAAATTGACAGCACTAAGCGCAATTACAGAGGCGTTTCGAGTTTTTGCGCCGAGTAAACCGGGAGATAAACTTTGAGCATCTCAGGTCTTACGAGTCACAATCATCGATTTTCCAAGCAACAGCGAGGTTTGTCGCACTGTTGTTACCCGTGGCGGTAGCGTTTTATTCGAACGGCTGAAATCAGCTACGATTTGCACGTTACGGTACCTTTTACGGTAAGACTGCACACTATTTAGGTGAATTCGATTTCAATCAATCCCATAATGTTTTCTTGGATTAACACGAATATCTCGCACTGTTGATGAATATAATGTCCAGAAGAAGAGATTTAAGTTGAATAGATTTTTACTTATTGATGACGATCTAAATTATATCAATATAAGTATATTGCCGTCCATTGCTGAACGTAAGCCAAAGTGCGCCAATATAAAACATATACACCATGGATATATTCGCAAATCGTTGACAGTGGCCGTTAGGAAAAGGCCCGTCATCCCAATATTTAAGTAATTATAATTATTGATTAAGTATGTGATTTTCAAAATTTTAAAAGGTTGTCAACGCATCTGGAACCCTCGGATGTAGCAGATGTCCATGGCGGTATTTACTTAACATTACGTGAACCGTCTGCTCGCTTGCCAACTTTTCACATAAAAAATGATATTGCCTTATGCTAGTTGCATGGGATCTCCTGACATAATAATCTGAAGAAATCCTGAATAAAAATTAAGTAGGTCCCAGAAAAGTCTGTCCGGTGTTATAAAAACTTAATTTTCTTGTGAATTGATAGTGTCGAAAACTAGTAAAACATATGAACTGAACAAAGTCCCCCGAATAGGGTTAATTGATCAATTTTGAAACGTTGCTATTAAAAATAACGGGAACTGAAGCATCAAGCCAATGCAATTTCTGATCTCCTGGTCCTTAAAAAGTAATAAGGATCAATCAAATCCCTCATTGTGCCGTCGACAAAGGCTCTCCACTCCACAAAGCAGCAGCCACAGAGACGTCGCCGGTTATTTCCGTTACATTATAACTTCATAAACCCTATCCCACGACCGGGTAGGGACCATCAAGTACTGTTAAGGTGAATTAAAGTGACATCTCGCTGTAACGGATCGGGCGAGAATTTTTGCTGGCGCACCGGCATTCGGCGCCAATCCACGAGTACCTGATAGAAGTATAGTTTTTCTCCGAACCACGGGTCCTGTTAGAGCAACGCGGGCAATCTTGTTAAGGACTGTAGCCCACGACACGTGCGTGTTGCAGTGTGTTACATACCAATGGAACGGTAACGTTATTTCGATACCTTATACAACAAAACGTTCTAACTGTAACAGTTCTATGAAACCAGCTATCACAATTAGGTTATCATAGGTTAAACTTTTGTTAGTTATGATCGATCGCTGAATTTATAGTCGCACAAGTAAATAACAACTGCAGATCGTTTTGAGACTTCAGCCTGAGACTTCAGATTCGGAAAAAAATTACTTTACACCTTTAAAAATAAATAATGATTAACAATCAATGTATTGTCTAAATAAATATCACATAGACTGCTTTCTATCAGCGTACATGACTAGACATATGTTAAGCGTTATTAGCATTATTTCATTTAATATTTCTATTCTTTGTTCATTGAAATAAGAGTAATATAATTGTACACTTTAGGGTAGAAAATATCTCTTATAGCGCATTAGTTGTCACAGATACGATGTCAAGGAATTAATAAAATTAATGCTAGAGTTGTTTCTCAATTATAATTTCCAAAAAAAAAAATTGTAGACGTCATAAATTATATGTAATATTAGGACTAACAAAATGTTTACTTATAACCAAAAAACAAATAATATAGAAATGTATGACTGCTGCACAAAGATGATCTTTACAAATCAAATGATATAGATATTAATTATTTTAATGTTTATGTTTTTGCTTTAACTGTTAGCGCTTTCAATCCATAGACTATTGAAGCTTCATCGTACGCAGAACTCTTTGACTAGCCAGAACTCATGTGTTTGAGGCCGTCCAGTAGGTAGGGCAGCGCAAGTGCTCATGGGTGCGCTTAGTATAGGGAGGAGTATCGCCTACGAGCCATCGAGGTTCGGTATGGACCGTGACCCCTCTGGCAGTCGACTGTAGTTGATTTAATCGTTGGCTATGGGCGGTGAGAACCGCCCTAGAACCGCCGGGTGTACCAAGTACGTTGTGTTGGTTTCGCCGTGCTCGTAGGCGAGGGCCAACTATGGTGTTTGTGGTTGAACTATTTGTTTATCTAGTGTTATCTGGCGGACTCATAGGCATAAACATTCTTAAAATTTTTAGAAATGCTTGGTGCATCTATTATTATACTATTTACAGCGTACAATCAAAACATCTTTTAATAACGACAACTCGAACGAGAGATGTCGCCATTGCTATGGAAAAAAGTAAAGAAATAAAAAATGCGATAAAAAAATTTAGATAACGAATGTTGAGATTCTCGTCGGTTTGGCAATCAGCCGTTAAGTTTAGTGGTAAAAGCGACGCGAATCCGGATGACGTGGGTTCGAATCCCGCATCAACGATAAACTTTTCCTACTTCCTTTTTCTAAAAAAAAATTAATGTTTCACAGTACCCTTGCTAATAAGCATTCCTTTAATACCTACCGAAAAATAATATAAACCTGCCACACTACTAACATAATTGAAGACCAACCTTAAAAAGTAACCTGGTTCTTGACAAATTATTACAATATTAAAAATGCAAAACATACAGGAGATAAATGTAATAAATGTGATAAATGTAGGTATTTTTGTTTTTTCTGCACACCGCAACGATTGAATGTTTTAAAAAGTAGATTGGAGATGCTAACACAGAGGGCACTGTTATTCAGCAAAAAACAACTATTTCATTATAAAACAAGCCATATAACATAAAATTTGTACCTACGTAGTACACGTAGGTAAGAACACTTATATACACACACTTATATACGCACGTAAGAAGTTACACTTTATCATAACAAAAGAATAATAGGTAACTAAAATTTTTATTTAAACAAAGAGTACTGGCACAGAAGCCAGTACTGGTGGGCGTTCACGTCGTAAAATTTTAACTCTCATAATTTTTACAAACGCGATAGAGCCGATTTCTAATCGGCTCTATCGTGACAACTATCGCGAGACAAAAGTGTAACACGAGTGTATAGTAAACATGAAAGGCCGTTACCTCCGTGCGATGGATGCACGCTGAGCAGCAGGCATGGCTCGTCTCCAGGCTCCCGGCAGCACTCGAGGACGTCGCGGCCAGTGGTCTGAGGGGTCACCGGCACGTGGGTCGGCGACCAGCCTGTGCCGCTCTCGCACCACACGCGCACTATTATCTGCGCCACCAGAGATAGCAAAATTCACAACTGATTTATATTTCCTATCATCTCCAATATTTACTACATTAAATCTAACTAAAATACATAACTTTATCCAAAAAATCTAGTATGCGGCATGGTGCTAAGAAAGCTAACCGCTGAATAATTAGCGTAACCTTTAAGCGAGAAAAGAACCAGGTGCTTTGTCACCAGCCGCGGCTATAACTCTATATCGCAAACCTTTAAAACTCAACTAAACTAAACTCCAACAGCAAATTGCACATAATCTGATGTTCATAATCTAAACAAAGAGACTCATTTTTGCGCCACTTAACTACTTCCGCTTCCTTCGAAACCGCCTCGTCCCTGACCAAAGTACCTGTTAGATGAGAGGCAGCCAAAGTTTCTACTTATACATATAGCATACCAAACAAGGGCTTTGCCTCCCTCCCAAAGGATCAAAGTAAAGCCGTCAGGTCACTTGCCACTAGGCAGTAAATGCCATAGGTAAATGGAAGATGTTCCCAGTGGAATAAGGGTTTTTTCTTACGTGAAAACTTGGCAAGCGAGCAGGCGGTTCACTTGAATTAAATGATTACCGCTACTCATTTACATGTACAATCACCCTCATGTACGTCTACATGACGGGTTAGAAATGCGTTGTCTACATTGTGTCAAAAGTGAACCCCGGTTAGTTCACTCACCAGACGAAACGCGTTAATTATGTTTGTAATATTTTAATTGTCGTAAGGCCGAGCATTGCTTTCAACTGTTGCACGACTGGGCAGGCTCATCCGGGGAAGTACCAAGGCGTCACAGAAGACCGGCGTGAGGTGGAACAATTAAACTTTCGCGTTCCATCTGGTGAGTGAAGTAAACGGTGCGAATGAGAATCGGTCCACAAATGGGGGAGAAATCGGTGAACATCAGTACATGAAATTAAAAAATACATAATATATGAATCTCTGTTTTTATTTATGTAATGATATTATATTTATAATAATTGCATATTCGTGTATTATAATTAATGTATGTATACAATTAACTACCATTTGTAACCAATTTCCAGTCACAGGTATGCTGGAAGAAATTTCTTAAGAAATAAGCAGGGCCTTTGTACAAATTCATTCGTATATTTACATTTATATCATATTTATTTATTTGTTTATTTATTTAATAAGGAAATAATGTAATGTTATTCTAAAGTGATTTCATTCACTTATTTGGTGAACAAAACCATTTAAGTTATTGTTGATGAACGTATGAAACTTTACAACGTTATTATTTGCGTTGCACAAAGTCACCCACAGTAACTTACGAATAAAGTTTTCTAACTCAACACTTAAACAACTAATTATCTAACAATACTAGCTCATGTTCAGATAATTTTTCCCTGAATATTTACATGTTTTATCCTCTGAGCGCAAAAGTACATAGCATATTTATCACCATTCGCAACAACAAGCTCAGAAAAAAATTTTGAAAGCATAAAAATAAACACGGCATTCGTCATGAACGTCGATTCCGGATTCATTTAAAAATCGATCAAGATTTCTATTTAAATTAAATAACATATGTTCTACAATCTATATTATAATATTTATAGTACATACTTAACCATCTCAAATTGGCATTTATAAGTTCTAAAATTCTCGCTATGAAACTTTCATAAAAAAATCAAAGATATTAAACTAAATATCATAATGAGTAATAGAAGAAGATTGATTTGAATTGTTGATAGCTCTTATTTTAACTTAGTACACTCGCTAATAACAGTTGTTAGTCAGTAAAGCCGATAAAAGATTTTTTAAAGACAAACGCTTACCAACCAGATAGGCAAAGTAAATCGGTTAGTTTTTATTGGAACCAGTTCGCTATTTCTATTACAAATAGAAGTTGTAAAACATGTTTGTAAAGCTTTGTATAAGCGATTCAGAAATGATTGATCTGTGAATAGCAAAAGAAGCTAAAATGTATTTACACGATCTGATAAGACTGAAATTATATGATACTATTAAATTTCACTTTTTTGTCATCCAACCTTAGTGCATGACATGTAAATACAAATATATCACAAATGTTAAAACTTTTTTAATTAAATAATTTTCATTTACCATTTACCGCTTGGTGTTTTGTCTCTTTCTACATTAAAAAAAAATTTACTACCACTCTACTATAACCTATTATTCATCATCTTTATCGAATCACCCTTTCAAGCTAGTTTTTATTTAGCAATAAGTAAATGGAAGCTTTGTGTACTGTGAAACGAAAATTCTAATTAATTTGTCCAGATTAAGATAAGAGTTTTTAACGAGACTTCGGCAATAAATTTAATCGTATTTGAATACCGCGGACGACAACACAAACTCCCGGAGAGTTCTAGAGCTTCGTTAGATTGAATATTTTGAATACATTTACAATGAACAAAGTAAATTGAAATGCGCGCGATAAATTCAACTTAATTGCTGGCGATTGGTGTTATCGATTCAGTAGATATGGTATATGTACATATTTCGCTACCATTGAATGCGATGTTAGTTGATAATTCGTAAAAGCCAGCAGAGTTATGCCACCGTAAGCTAATCCGTCAAAAATCTCGCCGCATGGAAACTTGCGACACCACAAAGTTACCGAACCAAAATGCTAATTTTCAATGGTGAAACACTGAGAACTGGTTAAAACACAAACTCTAAAATTTAGAAAACTACGGAGTGTATCTAACCTATATTTTAGCCAATACGAGACGTCTTAGGCGTCTAAAATGTCAATTCCAATATTTTTTTTATTTTAAATTAATTTTTTTATTACAATATCAGCAACACTGAATAACCCAGCAAAAAAAAAACAGTATAATACTTTATGCCAACGGATTTACATTTTTCATAAGCTAACTTGAATATTGCTAACACGACGTTGGTCATTACTTGAAAATCAAACTGTGTTTGTGTGTATGCAGCTATGTGTTTAGGATTATTGTTATTATACTTAAGTTCTTTTATTATTTATTACCATTTCTATGCCCATCATTATATGGGATTTAATTGTCCAAAAGTATTTTAATCGATCTTTATTAAAAGAAACCACTAAAATTGAATGAGAAAAATAATTTGCTATAAGAGCTTTGAGTGCGGGTAATAAGGAAATGCTCTGCGAAATTTGTGTTACTGGCATACCAACCTGAAATAACTTTGTGTACCTGGTACGAGTGTAAGGTGCCGGCAGCCATTAAACTAGCTCTAAGTTTAATTTCACTAATCCCAACCATACAGACTTAATGAAAAAAGAACATGTCTATAGCTGTTCGTGTAATATGTAGAGATAGTAAACGGTAGCCTCCTCGTAATTAGAAAAAGATTTTTTTATATTAAAGTTAAAAACCTTAATAAGTTTTAAATGTACTGCTTTTATGTTCTGGATGCATCTATGCATCCAACTTTATTTAAAATTTACTTTTTAATTTTCAGTACTGAGGATTCCAAACATTAATACAATACTCGAGTACTAGCCAGGGCAAAAAATGCTCTTAATTTACTTAAACTGATTTTCTGCTAGTTGGCTATTTAACGTCAAAACTGGTTATGAGATGCCAAGTCTTTTACCAGAAACGTTTCCTTGATTATATTGACATTAGGTATTAATTTTGGAAAATAGTTTAACTTTTTTCTTCTCCGCATAAATATCATTTTTGTGATTTTTGTACGTTTTTTTAGTACGATTATCACTATATAGTATAAAACAAAGCCGTCCCGCTGTCTGTCTGTCCCAATGCTTAGATCTTTAAAACTACGCAACGGATCTTGATGCGGTTTTTTTAATTAGATAAATTGATTCAAGAGGAAAGTTTATATGTATAATAAATTGTACCTGTGCGGAGCCGGGGCGGGTCGCTAGTCCTTAATAAATTTTATTCAAAATATCCTTCATTTATCTATCATTCAATCTATTCTTTCTACAGTAGAATGGAATTATTAACATTCCTAAATACTTAAACTGTAAATGTAGATAAATTAACAAAAACTTTCGGCGCTGCGAGATTCGAATCTGCGTCTTCTGACACTTATCAACTAAGTTAAGCGGCCGATGACCTCACGGCACGTAGTTGACATCTATCTGCGTTCGTTCTATTGCATTTTTAACAATGCTTGTATGCTAGCATGTATCATTTACAGTATCCTTTACTCACATCCTAATAACTTTAAAAAAAATATACAAGCAAAAACTTCAAACGAAACCACTCAGTTGTCAGTTTTGAAGTGAAGTATGAACATTATTGATTTCTTGCATCTACGTCAGTACATGCAACTATAACATATAGGGTTGGAAACTAAGTGAGTGCATAAACGACCACTTTCGGCATTTAGCACTTTATTATTTTTGAATCGAAGTTGTTAATTGTTGGGAACTGATTTTACACCCACAATATAGCCCTGCCCCTATTTTCGCCACTTATTTCGCTCCCAGGACAACTCGCTTCGTGGTAAAACTTTCAATGATCATAACGCTGTAAAATCTTACTTAACTTTTGGCCAAAAAGGAGCAGACTTTCTACAAGCATGGAATGTGTCCAAGTTGTTAGAGAGGTGGCAAAGGGTCATCTTAAAAAAATAGCAAATAGACTATAGATTAAACTTTATTCCGAGAACAAAACAATATTTTATTTTATCTAACAAATCCGTAATTGCTTAGTTTAACTAATATATAAAAATGCAATAGAATGGCATGCCATCGTAAATGTCATATCATTTATCGACTTAATATATAAGGCATTATTGCATTCATATGTAAGTAACATCGTGTTAAAAGCCATTCTATAATAGAAGTTAACAAACTTGTTATCGCAGATATAAGTATATTGATTTACATAGATATCAATATTGATAGATGGAAAAAACATTCTCAAAAAATTTTCGTTGTTTCTAGGTACATCCCAAGCGGATGTAGAAACGGAAGATCAAATGATCAAAACTCCTACTTACAGTTGAAAGGAGCTTACCATCTCACGCCAGGTGCACTTAATGGTATTTAAGTTGCCGAGTGTCATGAGATTTGATTAAATTTAATAATGAGCAAGCTAAATGGTTACTCCAAGGTTTGAACTGTTTTATGAATTCGACAGTGCTTTAATAAAACGAATTTACTGTTTCAAACTACAGTTATCTTACACGGTTTATCTTGGTTTCAATGATACAGATAAAATGATTACTGAAATTGCCTTATTATTATTTTAAAATTGAAGAGCATGTAAGTTCACAATAACACAAAACTAAAATTTTATAAAAATAAAATTTTATATCCCATTTCTACTGTTAGAATGTGTTACAGTGTCACTGACCAAGGGATGCTTAAATACATGACCAAAATAATTATTATATATTAACGGTGGTAGGGCCACGCAACACTGTTGCACGAATGGGCAAGTCCGTCCGGATAAGTACCATGACCTCACAGAAGACCGGCGTAAAGTAGAAGTGATACACTTCTGCGTTTCATCTGGTGAGTGAGGTAGCCGGGGCCCGCTTTATTTAAAGGTGGCAACCCATTTGCAACCCTACGAGTGTTGCAAATGTCCATGGGCGGCGGTTATCACTTGAACCGCCAGCTCGTTTGCCACTTTCTCACAAAAAAATAGTTTTATTAACACTTTTCAAACATATTCTTCAGAAATATACTCAATTAAAGTTATTTTAAAATACAACTTGATTATTCTTCTCCATTATTGTTTAAGAGGCATTAACGCCGCCTATGGACTGTTGCAAGACCAAAAGAATTCAATATGGTACCTGATACCTCACTAAGTGGTATCGATTCAGAAATAAGTTGGTCTAATTATCAATTTATGGAGACAGCTGCTTCAAACCTGGCCCGTTATAGCTAAATACTTGCTAATTACGTACAAACCTCGGACTATCATGAAATAAGCGACTATTACAAAATACAACATTTTGGTGCTATAACGTACGTTCTGTACATATGAACATAAGTTATTATTCAACCTCCTAATCCGACAACTTCATAATCCCATGTGATGCGTATTCAACAAGGGCGTCCCAGAATTTGAATGTAATGTTAACACCTCCAAACAATGCCACGGTCCGGGAAACCAGGGTTAAATACTAAACAGGTTTAATCCTCACAGGCGGAAACAGAAAAGTACCATCTGTCGTGTTGTCGTCGAGTAGATGAAGAAAAAGCTAAAAGAGCGAAGAGCCCCTAAATTAATATCCAGTCTTTGGCTTATGTAAACAAGTCGTGTAGGGCCCATATATTCATTAAATTATGGATGAAAGAAAAAAGTTCAAAAGTGATGTTTGTATTGAATTATATTTATATTTGCTTCGCAACTAACTTCGTCATATCGTTTTTTGGCTGTTGTAAAATCTTATTCTTATAATTTTTTCCAGAAGCACCAAAGGAAGAATAACTACATAAGCCTTTCGAGAATCTCTTTTATAGGCAGATATATTTCTAATTATTTTTCTTATACAATTACCGAAGTCTAAATCAAAGACAAGCCCCATATACCTTTAAATTGGATGACCACTACGTGCTATGAGAATTCCAATGAGTTTTCGATGTTTAAAATTTGGGCTTCGGTAAAATAAATGTTATATATATAACGACCACCTTGTCACCCGAGACAGGTAAGTATGTTTTAAGCGAACTCTGTCTACTCGGGTAGAATTTAAAGGCTTATATATAAAGGAGACTTACTTATAGATGATCCAAATTTATACGACTCAAGCTCCGCATTAAAAATCCCTGTATTAACACTGGTCCTACTTTTAAGTGCGCCTCTGGGAGCTTTTTATTGCCCTTGTTTATTTTACGGACCCTCATGAGCCGAGTTTTTTAAACAAAGGCCAGAAATTTACACGCTTTTTAAAAATGAATGAGTGTTTTTAAGAATCGCCCACCAAGTGAGATCATTCACACATTTACAGTGTTTATAATTTTATTTCCCCTATTTCGGAAGGGTATTTTTAAAGTGTTGTGAGACCGCGTAAAAAGTATACTTTTTTGAAAATTCACACAACAACGGTAACAAAATCGTAAATTCTTTCATGCAACAAGATTAACAAGATATTGTGAAGAATTTGAAATGCATTTTAAAATAATTTACTTGCATTCGTGATATTGTAGGCAAAAGGCTGTGGATAAATCGAGCACATATTCAAAAATGGAATCATATGAATTAATAATATATGAAATTGTATTTATGGATTTTATTGTGCTTAGCATATATTACTCAAGTGTTTACAAATCTGCCTCAATATAGTGTTCATTTTTTTTAAATCATCAATATAGTATTTGCAGATCATTACTCGGCTTTAAATTAAGCCTTAATTACGAAGCTCCCCGAAACGAAAGAAAATTGAAAGAGTTTTAACGACACCACCTGAATAAATTATTTTGAATACATTAATAGCAGCTGCAAAAAATAACGAATTTCCACTGAAGGAGATTTCCTAATTTACAATTTTACAAACGGTACTCGCTTTTTACAAGTTTAAGAGCCTGGAATCATCAATATAGCAAAAATTAGAACTAATTTTGAAAACGTCGATCACCTGTTTTCGGAGAACGTGGCTACTAGATCGATAATCCAATTGAAGGAAATAAATAATTACTTGCATCAAATCTTTCATTGTATCTGTTACAATAATACAGTAAATGTATCTTAAATGTGTAAATATTTTATAAAAGAATAAGAAAAGTCGAACAAAAGTCAAAAATGCAATGGCAAAAATATTAATACTCATTCGGTACGTTAATGAAATTTTTACCATGAGAGGAAAAGTATTAAAAAAAAGAAATGTGGCTCGATTTGAATATTTATATCTTTACTGGCCGACTCTAAGCAGCAACTGTCAAAACAAAATAAATCTTAGGAAAAGTGAAAGCCGTTTAATATTCAGTATCGATGAATTAATTACAACCAATTTAAAGGTATTCATTCGGTGAAATGTTTAGTAAATGTAAGACATATCACAATTTTAAATTCATTTATATTAATTTTGTAATCATTGGAATAATATGGTATGCTTAATATTGTCTTAAGAAATACAATGATATTTGAAAAAATAGCTTGAATTAATATTCATATTTCATCGGCACAATGGAATGGATCGCTTCATTTTATCTATTAGATCATATCGTAAATCAATATTATTAGTTTACCACTTTTTACACCACAAAATGGACATCTCTTCCAATAATATAAAAGGCTAGGTGCTAAATATATTGGGTAGAGTAAAGTTTTATTGTATTATCCGTAAGCGAAGAAAAGGCTATGTTGAGGCGATTTTTTTCAGTTAAGTCAAGTTTATTCTCGCTGTGGATCGTGAAACAAGAGGAATACAGAGAATATAAAACCAGTGAAATGAACCATATATATATAGCACAGCGACATCTTGATTCCACGAGCAACGAGAACGTCGCAGGCAGAAAAAAATTGAGAGACCAGAAACTGGCAACGAGCAAGAAAAATAAAACTTGAACGCTAACGAGTTGCAAACTATCACTGGAATACGGCGAACCCCCTCACTCGTCTGTGACGTCACCTGTGGCGGGTGATGGCGCAAAATCACATTCATAGAACTTCGACTCACAGTTGGATGTTGCTTTTCTTTTCGTCGTTTTTAAATCGTAAAATGATTTTTAAACAACAAATGTTTCCGCAAACCTTTTATGCTTATAATTTTAAAAGTTACAGATTTATGGTCTAATTATAGTTCTAATATACATAGTAGGCTGGCATGCTCGCACATTAGTCCAGTGGACTGTGTATAAAAACTTTTCTTTATTTTTTTTGAACTTGTAATAAAATAAAATAAAGCCTGAATTATAATGTACTTTTTTCAATTGCGTAAATTCACATTAGTTTGTATATAGTTGATATTGATATTCCATTAGTTACGTGAAACTTCTAAAGAGGCCAACCCTTGCCCTTTCCGCAATAACTATCGGAGTGTCTTTAATAAATAACTCGTGTAGTTTCATGAGAGCTACGCGGACAAAATAAAAACAGAGGTAAGTAGTGAGCACGCAACTCACAGTTAAAGCAAGTAAAAAAGTTTTCTTGTATTTATGAGAATACTACAAATTGTTAAGTTTCAATTTAAGATATTCTAATTCAAACACTTTACAGAGACAATGTCAAATTACCAGGTTTGTGGTTATATGGAATCGTAGCATTACTTGTAGTCTCGAACTAAACGTAGGGTAGGAAAAGAGCACGCACCGTGGCATTCACAGAAACACATCAGCTTCCTTTATCGCCCTAGAAATAAGTCTAGCAGCTGCCGGTTGGCAGATGTTTGCGTAATTATTCCAAAGGGTGGCTGGCATTTAGCAAACAAGCCATTGTTTAATTGTTGGACGATTTCCCAGAGGTCGGACGGGTCGTGGGACCGGGTTGCGTAAGAACTTACCGGAATCATTTTTCGGGGACATGTGTGACTACGCGCCCTGCCACTGCTTATCTGTAAAAAAATGTAACTTTAAGTCTCATTTCGAGTAAATTTCCATCGAAATTGTAACTATAATTATCAGTACTATATACATAAACTTTACATTAATATGTAGTTAGTAAAAAGGTCATACACGAATACGAACTATGCGATCTGTTCATTACATCTTTGACATGAGCGGCACGCAGTTTACAGTTAAAGATGGCGACATCACTTTGTACACAAGCAGATGGTAAATCTAACCTAGAAACAATGTAAACTTAGAGCTTTCCCATGATCACGTAAATCTCGACGCTTGTCATTCATATATCGAACGCGCGTGTATGCTGCTATCTGTACGTGATAACTGTTACTTCTACAGTTTAATCAAGGACAACCTTGGCCCTTATCTACATCAAGAATGAAAGAAATACATGTTTAAATATAAAAAGACAGTCTTTTAGACAGTTTTCCTATCACACTTAGACTGTTTTTTTTTTTTTTTTTCATTATAATATTTCGGCAAATGATACATATTTATTCAACAGAAAAATAAAGTAAAAAAAACTATAGTACTTCTTATACTAACTTAGCGATTGTAATACTAGTTGGACTACCCGGCTATATGTTTTTACTGTGGAATGGCCACGCAGCACCTTCGGTTGTTACACTAATGGGCAGGCTCGCACAGAGAAGTACCACGGCCTCTCAGAAGAGCAGCGAGAACAGTTTGAATTATACTCGTACTTTAAACGAGTTTCGTTGATTAGCGGGATAGATTTTAATTTGGCAATGCCGAGTTTCGTTGATTAGCGGGATAGATTTTAATTTGGCAATGCATCTACAACCCGTCAGGTGTTTGTCCATGGGCAGCGGTAAGGGGGCATCCATTAATTACGTGAGGAGATTTTGGTAATTTTGAGAATAAAAAAACGTGATATTTGCCCAGACCTCAGCCCCACGTGAGATTGAATGAGATTCCGTCGACACCCTCCTCGCCTCTAAGCGCCTGCCGATTAATGGACCTTACACTTAACATCAGGTGAGCGGCCTGTTTGTATGCCAACTTTAAACATAAAAAAAATCTGCCGTTCAGTACTGAAGTCGCGTCGCGCGTGACTACGCCTTAATGCCCTCCGTGACCATAGCAGACCTTTGCAAATATTTTATATGGGCTGTTGCATTTTATATCAGTCTTTAGTGAAATAGGATTGATAAATTCCATTATATTCATGCGTACAACGAAACAGGCTTAGAGATCGTTGGTCGTGGGAGAATAATGTCTCAACAAATTTTCCGACTACTCCGACAACGCCATCAATTACACTGTTGATATTAATTCCAACAAAGCATAGGTTTTTCGCACTATATATCATTTCATCATAATTATTCCAAAAGTATAAAGGCTTATAGTAACTGAAGGAAAAAGGGTCGAAAGCGCATACCAATCGCGTAACAAGATCACGCTTACTAGATATTAAGATTAAAATGTCGGTGAAGCCATATGTGTGTTTAAACATAACAATATTATAAATAGCATACGAAATACGTTAATAAATTTACATCCCTCGACCCTTAAAAGCGTCAGAAATAACAAAAATATACCACTGGGTAATTTTTACCTGCCAACATACGGAATAGCTTTTCTTATTCTTAATAACATTAAGGTTTAAACCAAATACTAATGAAAAATTTTATGGTGGCAGAGGAAGCTATCCGCTTTTCTACACATATTTTTTATCCTTTAAAAGGTCGCAAGGGAGCAGGTGGTTCATTTGATGCTAAGTGAATGCCCATGGACATTTTAAATACCTGAAGGGGTGTATTTGCGTTGTCAACCTTAAAAAATAGTATGCCACACGAACATACTGTTCTCTGTTTCCGTGGCACTGCCCCGGATGAGCCTGCCCATTCGAAAAACAGCGCGTATTAAAATACCCTAAAATTATTAGATACATGGAACGGAGATTAATTTTTTTTACGAATTTGAAATAATCAAAAATGACCTTTAATTTATTTTTTACTTTTTAATTTTGAAACATTTTTTTATTAATAATTGAAACTTATTCGGATGATGAGTTCGACTATTGAAACGGCGATTTCGACGTGAGTCGGTGCTTGACGATCGAATTTTTACCACTGAAATTGTCGCTACATTTACGTACAAGTGCAGCGGTTAGTAGAAAGCCAGCACCGTTAACCGTTTCCTAATGTACGATTCACATACGACGCAATGTGATCGCGAGGACAAATTCGCTGTTGCACGAATGTTGCAGGTCCGTCCGGGGAAGTAACAGGAACTCACAGAAGATGGCGTGAAATGGAAGTGTTACACTTCTGTGTTTCGTCTGTTGAGTGAGTTAGCCAGAGACCGCTTTATAAAAAAGTTGGCAACGCAACATCAGGTACCCATCAATTTGCTTGCTACCTTCTTACATAAAAAAAGTTAGCGATTAGAATATGACCATACACGGAATTGTATTTTAATTATTCAACTGTCAAGTTGAAAAGGCTATGACTTGGTATCGTAGTGTTTGGTAAACGTGAATGACCAATAACTTTCCCTTCTTCAAACTGTAACTGCAATAAATCAGTTTACTAATTGCGATCGACAGAGGCCGATAAGCTCAATAGCTGTCACGATTAGAGTCTAAACTTGAATGAGGTAAAGGGTGCTTGTAAAACATAGACCAGAAACATTTTAAGAAATGTTTCTTATAAGATAAGGCTTAAAGCGCCTTAGTTAAAGTAGAATAATAAACTATTAAAAAAAAAGAATGACTGACACAACTTATTTAGTGAAGGTAAAAATAATAAATGAAACATGGAATACATAATATCATTCTTTTAGCATTAAATCGTGGTTAACTTCTTTCTTTTCTTTGCTTCTGTATGAATATAATAAAATACAGGGTATGCACCTTCACGTACTATAGGAATAGTTCACGTGTTAGATGCGTCACGCTCACTTACTCCTTAACCCGCTAACAGACTAGGAGATGTGGGTTGCAGACGCATTGTCTGTGCCCGACATGAGAGTAAACCAAGAAAATAAGAAAAAGGAAACTTTGAATACAATTAACATATATTACAAGCAATATTATAAATTCAATAAAATGCCCCCAGTAGTAGTAGAATCATGTGTCATCAATGACATTAACATCAATTCGAACTCACCACTTTTTCAAAATATATAGTTTTGTTTTTCTTTTTACTATATTGTAAAACTTACAACTAAGTAAAGTATAAAAAGTAAAAACATTATCAAATTTAAAATGCTAATTTACTGCAATGATGATTTGTTATATATAACAGCATACGAAGAAAATATCACTATGCAATATATTATTCTGATAAGTCTAATGCTAGCTTTAATACATAGGTATTACGCTGTACGTTATTTATGTACATTTTTCATTCAAAATGTGAAATTTATATCCTAACACATTTTAGGATTGCAATCATTGCTTGTAATTCACTGTTTTAAATAAATCGCAGATCTCTAGATGCGTTTGCGTTTAAGTATAGTCCTTTAAAGACAGAAGATATAAATATTCAATTGCATTTGCAATTAAGGTTCATTCAAAGGCTTTAGATACTGCGGCGCGCATAAGAATCCGAGGAATCGTTTCGCGGTGCTAAATATTCATAAATTCAAACAACAGGCGACTTGCAGCTGAGTGGAGTTGATGATTGTGGTATATACATACTGTATACATACGATTTATATATATTAAATATGAATGTCACTAGCTATCTGTATTTATCTAGATATTTTTCACTATTTGTAGATCGCATTTTGTCAGCTTTCCTAACTTAACTATTGCCATTTTTTTAATTATCTTAGAGACATGAATCTAAAAAAAATCATAAATTTATATTAACTATTACTTGACCATCAGTTAAAGCACGGTTAAGATAATTTATATATAAAATAATCCTTTCTTGGACATATGGTGAGCTGATAAAATAATCTGGCTATAAATTTATAATACTAGATGTTAAGCATCTGCTTCACTAAGGTAAACTAAGGCGTTAAAAGTCCCATGATGTTTCATAACATCTACCAAGTTTTAGTGCTGAACTTACATAAGATACCTACTTACAATATTTATTTTATCATCCGTCACAACAACGCTCAATTTTAACTATCATTACAGATACGAACAAAACTTAGCAAAAACTAAGTAACCGGTAATGCTCACATAATTTCTAATTATCAAGAGCAAGCTTGATTGCCTTTCTAGCGATTTCTTATTTCAGGCATTTGATAGGATGTCCATTTTGAAACATCAACATCCGCTTCAAGTGTGATTTTTGTATAAGAAGTTGTAATACCGTCAAGCATGGTTATAAAATTGCCGCACTTGAAAGTCCAATAGACAAGCGAGAATTTTCGCACATTGCGAGTTAAGTATATGGCGGCCGAGTGGAATTGCAGGCGTACTAAGACACCGATAGCGAGCCCGCGAAGGACGTGCACAAATTACGCTCGAAGCCTGAATGACAATGATCCTAAGCACAGCGACAGACGATTTGTCTCCGAGCGACGGACGCGTCATTCTGTACGCCATAATACATGACTGCTTGCATCTCAATCCATTCACATAAAGTTTTAAAACATAAAAGATTAACTCATAAAAGATTAACTCTTATTATTTTGTTGTCATCCAAAATATGGATGGCATTAACACAGGCAGGTATTTAGGAAATTTTATAATGCCACGAGCGTGTAACATTACAATTTTAATCGCTGCAAAATATCTTTCAAAAGCTAATTACATATTAACATATATGTAAATAACGAAAAGCCGTTTAATGGATTTATTGAAGCTAACGTATATCAAAGGGCAACAAACTATTGCACTGTAACAGACCATTAACGGTTATGCGTCGTGTTAAAACGTGATCGTATATTATACGACCACGTTTTAACACGATTTACCAATTTGAAATGTAAGGAATAACTTTATTCGCAATTAGATAAAAATGTCACAATGTGATCAAGATAAAGATCATTTGTGGATTTTTTACAAATCAGAATGCTATGGTAAGTGCCAATAAGTATTTTGAAAACTGCTTCCTTGAATTATGTATGTCAACATTTCCAAAACGTTACAAATATATAAAGTTAAATATCTGAAAAAGATTAGTCTTAAGAAATTAGGATAGAACTTAATTAAGGAACTTTTGTAATCCTTCAATAAATATTATTTTATATTAAAACGTTTTTTTAAGATCCTCTTCCGCTGCGCAACCCGTACTTAATATGTCAATCTAATCATGTGATATTTATTCAAATCAGGCAAAATTCGGTTGTACTTTAATAGTAAATCAATTAACTCGACAATAAATAAGTACAAAAATCATAACCTACTTTACATTTATCTATCTATCTATTTATTATACACATAAATTGTCTAAATTTAATAAAAGTCATTAAACTTTAAAGGATTTTGTATAGGATTAAGAAATTTTGTAAGCAATACGCGTTTCATGATGTCTTTTCTCTTGCAGTAAGCGGTGTTGTTTTAATATATATACTTCCTGACCGTTATCGGTCACTAAACAACGCAGATGAAGTCACAGGTATCAGCCAGTAATAAATAAGTTAATGTAATTTTTCACTGTATGCATAAATGCAGCCGCTTCTGCTGTCACATGAATTACGCTTTTCCGGGAAAGTACCACGACCACACAGAAGACCGTAATCCCCTTATAGTTGTGGACGGTCATTGGTGAGATATGACATCATCGAGTGTATCTACCGCTTCTCTCTCTCATAAAAATCAGTGCGTAAAATCAAAGCCCTAACAACGAATCTTCCAGTTCCATCAATACAAGGGGCAACATCTATATTGATCCCACCCACGCGACGGAACGAGCTACTCGGAAGACAGAAAATGGCTCACGCTGCGGAACTGTGATACGAGGCTTTTAGACCTTTCGGGGCCCCGTGGTGCGCGTAATTTGGCCGTTCCACGGCAGAGCCCACGTGAGATATTAGGTGGCCACGGGCACGATTTGCATACAATGAAACCGGCCGCGGGTGGGTAGAAATGCCCCCCGCTAACATTTCGGAAGTACCGTTCGCGGCGTCCGATTCCGCTGCCGTCGTTATCGAGGGAACCGGCGAATGTCTCTAACATTCTGCGCGTTGCTTTGCCGAGTTAACGGTGACTTTATTTATTTCATCAATTTTAAAATATATCTACCCAAGATTATAAAAATATCACCAGTTTACCCCGACGATGTTTTTTTAAAGAGTGCTTTTATACTTCTTTTACTCATCTTTTACTCGGTCAAGAACCAAGAAACCGATTAGATGGCATGATAAACGATGAAGTTATTCTTGAGGTTACTAAATTATAACTAAATATATATCTGCATCACACCTCCCCCTCGCACCTCGGCGAAGGTTGAGTGCCTTGGACGAAAATAAAGCTGACCGTGTCACATTTATTTTAGCTAAAAATTGATATCCCAATACCGGCTGTGATATATCACATTATCGAGATTCTAGAACGCCATTCCTGTTATGAATGCGATCTGTTATATTAAATGACAAACGTGTTACGCGGGGACACAAAAAATTTACAAGCACCGATGTGACGGACTGTTAACTGATCAGAGATGAAGTTTAAAACACGTTTAAAGTTTCACGCCTTTAAAAACGCGTACAACTTGTTAAATGTTTCGGAATGATTGTTTCAATAAACTCTGAAAGCCGCGGCATGTGATGCGCTCAATAGTACGTGGATTAATTCCGGGTTACCGCACTAATGAAAATTGTTAATGCAAAATAATGCAGCATGATTAAGGCTGACAGCTGTGGACAAAGCCTTGATGTCGCAGGTTTCCATTCTGCTGCCATGAACCGGATAACTAATTTTTTATGTAACTATTACAATAGCAAAAATAACTGTTTCAAATTCGTTTCGCGTACTCCACAACAAGCTCTCCATCTTTTACGTTTTGAGCTTACTAAGATTTATTTAAAGTGGGATGGAAGTCAAAAATGTAAAGGACTTCTTGTTGGATTAAATGCTTTATAACGTACATTGGTCTAGGCATTTGGTTTTCATAACTATAAAATTTTGTTACAACATGTGAAAACAAACGGCTACACCAATATACGTTATTGAAGCAAGACGAGGTCATTATTTATTTAATAAATAAGCTCTCGCGTCATTTAACACTAAAGCAGAATGTGACGTCAAATGCTATCTAAATTTTGACAACAATTAGTCCTAAACGGAACCATAGGATCTACACAAAAATAATTTCGAACGTCGCTGCGTGAAAAAGACAAGGAAACGAACAAATGAGTCCAAAAAGTTTTTCAGTGGTCGATTTTCAGTGGTGTAATCTTGTCGTTCTGAATGGACTAAGCGGCTAATTTTGATCAACAATACGCCTTTTATTTGTTCTGCCGTTTCATTCACTTGAAAAAAATCACATATCAAATCACTCTTTTGTACTCAATACCGTTATTAACATCGATAGCTCTAAATTCGTCTTAGATACCAATCTCAAAGAGATATTTGCGAGCTGAAAGCGAAGACGGAGTAAACGGCACGAAGCCAGCGCTTTTTTCTCCTTTCATAAAGAAGCAATGAGAGAAATCCGCGATCCGCGTTACGATACTATATCAACGAAGCGAGCGGAGGGATTTCTCATATAATGAGAAAAATAAATTTCCGCTTCCTGCAATCTCGTCTTATTGCTGACCGCTTACGCTTGATTTTTTTTATTTTTAAAACTGTCTCAATGTTAGTAAATAGAAGAAGAAGAAGGTATTAAAAATTATGTGTTAAACGCAATTAGTACAGACGTGTTAATAGTTAAGCAGTTGAAAATGCCTCCAAGCGAAGAACTTAATCTTAATCATTGAAGTATATTCGAACAAAAAAATGTTAAATAGAACACATTTTTTAAAATTCCAAGAGTGCTGTGCGGACCAGTGTGGTTCCTTGAAAAAAAAATATCGTTAAAAAAATAACTTCTCTAACTTTTAAAATGTTTTCTAATTCATTGTAAGCTGTGGTGTTCATTTCAATAAAGTCTATTGCAAAGTTGAATTTTAAAGTTTTAATAATATTCCATTTGATAATTAAATCGTTAAGATACAAGCGCTAATTGATTGGTCTCTGAGTGTGAAACTTAGTCTAGGAGCCTACTCAGATTCTTAGACTGTGTCTACACAGAGCGCGTGCTTTAAGGGCCCATCGGGGTGGTTCGTGATCGAATGCCAAATGTAATGGGTCGATGCGTTTCGCCTGCGCAGCGGAGGCGACGCTTCCCGGTACTTACCTCCAATCATACTGTCAAGCCGTCCATCCGTCCAAAACGCCCCGTGGGAAGCATCTCCCGAACGCCAAATACTAGAAAAAGCCCTCCCTCCAAAAGCCACCGATTCTTCCTGGTTTGTGCAACGAGAAATCGGGAAGTCTTCCGAGGTAAGGCGTTCTTTTATACTACTAAAACATAATAGGTACTAGCCATCGAGTGCTCTTTATGGAAACTTCAGTTTTAAATTGATAGTCGCTCGAATTAATTTCATAACTCAACTACAACTCCATTTCCGTCCCTTGTTGACACTAATAGGTCCCGGCAATAGCATGAATGCGACAGTAAATAATAACAATAACCGCAGCTTAATTTGCTCATTAATTTACATTAACACGTTAAAACAGCTTTGGTCAGTATTTATACAGAAGAGAGTATTTTTCCAAATTTCCACAACGTCGTTGTACTTACTTATTTAGATTATAATGTTGCTCATAATCTAAATATTGAACTGGTCTCTTATTTATCAACAATAATTGTCGCAAAGTGGGCGAAGTTTAACCATAATTGATATTGAAAATTCCAAGAAAAAATATATTCATCTACATTTTATACACAATTTTCTACTCTTTTATATGTACATTCGTTTAAAGTATATGTATATGACATCATAAAAAGTATGACACGTAAATACTCACAATTCAAAATAATTCAGTGCCATGATAAAAATCTGTTTCAATTACTTTTAATTGTTAACGGTAAAGCTCCTCAATGATTACTTAATACTCAAAAAGAGAAAATCGGTTGAGAAACAGAGGAGAAAGGTAATGAACTGTTTTCACTTTACCTTCTGTATTTATATACAGATACTCGAAAAGGGAGTCGTGATAGCTCGCTCGCTATTAATTTAGTGTACTCAACTTGAGTTCAAATCCCGGTGCTGATAACAATGAACGTTAATTACAATTTTCGGCGTAGGCTTATCAAGGCCGTGAAGGATACCATCATTTGTATATTTTCGAAACAATTAGAAAAAGAAAATATTATGAGGATATATATGAAGTGTGCCAATCTGCAGTGGGGTCGCATGACTATGCCCTAATCCTCTCAGTCCAGTGGAGGCCTTAGGCCAGCAGTGGGACATACACACGTATATAGGCTGTTACTTCACGTTTTACTCGAAAATCTTACAGTTACAAATTTCTAAAATATAATTTATCACGGGTTGTCTTTGGTCGCAGCATATGTCTAAAATATCTCTATATTTGTTAAAGCATTTCATCTTGCGGCGCAGAAATGAATTATTTTTAATATAAATAAATAAATAAATATTTATTAATTAAAAGTTTTATTTTGAAAAATAATACAATTTAAAGCATCTTATGCTGTATTCTCCTCACAAACTGTATAGAAAAAAATATTTTCTGGTGTCACAAAGAACCTATCTAAGTGTCGTAAATTTTAAACATTTAGTCTTATCTTCAACCATTCCGAAGGCGAGTGGCTTATTATTACTGCCAATTACACTTACTAATAGCTCGGCGGATTATTATTGCCTTTGTAGAGATGAAAGGACCGAGATATATGGCAAGAAGACATTAAGTGTAGAGATACATTATCATTAATGTTGAGTGCCATCGCAGCAAATAGTACGAAGAGACAAAGACCGCGAGTTCTTTAAAACTAAATCTATATCATAAATGAAATTATTGGTGCAGACAAAACTTCACAATGTAAATACGAAAACCCCAAGCCGATGTCAACGTTCTCTTTCTTTTCCACAGTCGCAATTAAAATTTAACTCCAGTAACTCATTTTAGAATACCGCAGTTAGATGACGCTTCACTGCTGGGTGTTCTAGAATACTAATCATCAAATAACTAAAGTGCTACTATTTGCTTAACAATGCGCTCGTTTTGTTTGTTTCAGTCAAAGACAAGTTCGAGAGTAATCCCGTAAAAGCACTAAAACTTGCCTTGCTCAGTGCTCTCAACAAAACTCACAATGTAATAACTGCAACATGAAAGAGTAGCAAAAGTAGTCTGGCTAAAGGTTCACTTGAAGCTTTCAATTCCGAAACTTTATCTTTGCTCTAACAGAAAGTAAGAATGTCATCGTTATATGAAGTAAAAATTAACGTACATATATAGTTATTTGTTGTAAATAGAGAATATAAGTTTAATTTAAAATATTTATTTAATTTGTATTAATAACTATTTTGGTATTCGTTTCTCTATGAACTCCCGTAGCGAGTATTTTCGCCTTAGATTTATCGTAGTTTCTGCGGTTCATTCAATGTGAGCACTTGAAACAAACTGAGCAACGGGTTGAGTGGCTTGTATTGCTAATTGAGGAAATAGTCAAAAGCAACTTCAAGGCCTCATATCGCCAAATGAAGGCAAAAACGCCGAGGTCAAGGTATTTATGACTGGGAATGTGAGAAGTTAAGAAAAACAAGAACAAAGAGCAATTGTATAGATGGCTTTCTGAATTTGTTCAGACGCTGGTTTGGGATAACGAACGCTTTAGTAGCATTAAAAAAGTATGTGTGTCCTTATGTAACAAAAAGACTTTTAGAAATTTATATGTCATAAATAACAGTTTCATTATCTTCTTTCTTTAATAAATAACAGTTTCATTATATAACTTGGAATTGGATAAATGTCAAAAGTTTGTCACTGATTGCCATGGTAATACTGTGCGCTTTGCCACCTACTTCATTATGCCGCTTTTTAGCTGTCGATTTCCGCGCACATCGTAAAAATATCTTTTTCGAAAAATTTAAATGATGAAATTTAATGTGGAATTTGAAATGTAATAGGAAAATCAAGCAAAAGTTTCACGAAAACGGATCGACTTT